TATCAGAGTGCAGTTAGCGTTTCTGAATACTTTTGAAAAATATGACCACTCGCCACGTTGAGCCGCTCCGGAACCCAGGTATGAGTTAGTAAGTCAGTCATATCACGTGCAAGGGGCTTAGAACTTATCCTCCTAAAGCATTAAGAACTCTAGCTAAGTTCGAACTTATGTTTCGAGCTTCAATCAGTTTTGAATCTCGGTTATAATTCCAAAATCCTTCTAGTGCGCTGCGTTCCAATAATGCTGCCTAGACGTGATGTTTAGCCAACTCAGGAGATGACCCAAGCTCGGGTCGTAGCTCAGTTCTGTAAGATTGTACCTCCGACCTTTACCAGAGTTGAGGGACCATTAACCGTGGGCGATTGGTTACTCAAACTAGAGCGACGTAGTCTTTTATTTCATCGAGTTGTTTGGAGGCAATCAAAATCCAGAGTGTGAGTGCAGTCGATGCCCAAGAGATCAGCCTATCCTTGGGGAAAACGATTGTTACGAATACTATGGTGCAGGAATTAAGGATGAACATCGGCGGACGAGACCTGTAAGCAGACATACGTCATCAACATGAAGGATTTTGACATTATTCTATGGATGGACTAGTTGACAAAGTACCATGTCGACATCAGCTGCCAACAACGAGAGGTGAAATTGCAATTGCCAGGACGTGATCGGATCGTGTTTTTCTGAGCCCAAACTAGGACTGTGCCCAGAGTCGTATCTAGCATGAAGGCGATGAAGAGTTTTCGGAAGAGTGGTTGCCAGGGCTACTTAGTGAGTGTAGTCTGGAGCCAGAAGGAGGAGCCATCTCCCGAGTCAGTACCTATTGTTTGTGAATACCGCGACGTTTTTCCGGACGAGCTTCCAGGAGGGCCACCAGACAGACAAGTGGAGTTCACTATTGACCTGATCCCCGGAGCTGGACCAGTGTCAAAGGCACCATACAAGATGGCACCGAAGGAGCTGCAAGAGCTCAAAACACAGATTCAGGAGTTGCTCAATCTCGGATTCATCCGGCCGAGCGTCTCGCCATGGGGTGCACCTGTACTTTTCGTGAAGAAGAAGGATGGCACGTTGAGAATGTGCATTGATTACCGAGAGCTGAACCGGTTGACTGTGAAGAACAAGTATCCTCTTCCGAGAATAGAGGACCTCTTTGACCAGCTGAGGGGAGCGAGCGTATTTTCGAAGATTGATTTACGATCGGGCTACCATCAGTTAAAAATCAAGGAGGCAGATGTATCAAAGACGGCGTTCAAAACGAGGTATGGTCACTACGAGTTCGTAGTGATGCCGTTCAGGTTGAGTAATGCATCGGCGGTATTTATGGACTTGATGAATCGGGTCTTCCATCCATACTTAGACCGTTTTGTTATCGTTTTCATCGACGACATCCTGGTTTACTCGAGAGACGCCGACCAACACGACGAGCATTTGAGGATCGTGCTGGAGACCCTTCGCAAAGAGAGGCTATATGCAAAATTTTCCAAGTGTGAATTTTGGCTGGACCGAGTCGCTTTCCTTGGTCACATTGTTACTTCCAAGGGAATGGAAGT